GCTTTTCTGCCCCCTTTTTAACCCTTTCTGCTAGTCTCCATCTTCTTCCTCTTTTACAATGCACTATTCACTGAGGACAGCTGTGAAGGACCAGAGAACAGAAAACTTTCTGACGCCACTAGCCAACCAATCGCCAAGTAGTACAACCCCTTGCCTGCCTGCTGATTGTATAGATTTGTATAAATTGTATTGGTCTTTTCAATGCATGAATTAGGTTTCTGTATTCCTTTCCAAAAGCTACAGTGAGCATTACCTAAATTATGCTCTGAACTAAAAATAAAATGGAAATAGTATCTACTGCATTGGCAAAAATCTAGATGTTTTCATTTCCTCCCTTTCTCCTTCTTCATCCACAAACAAAAAATCTCTGTGGGTAACTGCTGCAGTTGATGCTATGACCACTGAAGGACTATTGTTTGTCTGTGTGCTGTTCTTACAAACACAAAATTTCTAAGCACAGAAAGCTGTTAAGACTGATGTCCTTGGTTCATTTGTTCAGACCTAGTTATTGAGGCATAAATAGTGTGCTGTATAACACCATGAAATGACCTAGGAGTACCTATAATGCACAGGTACAGTGAGACCTAGAAAAACAGAGTATCCAGTGCTAAAACAGAGAACCAGCATTAACCGATTTCCTTGCCCTGGTCTTACATAGCTTTGGCAAATAACACAAGGTTTTTCCCTTTTGCAATAGATGGAGTTCCATATATGACTACCTTAGAGGAACATGCAAAGCCTGAATATTAATATTAAAAGACCCCACAACCTTTCACCTTCATTCTTCCCCCTTCTCTCCCCCCCTCCAGAAGACCTTTCTTCCAAATGTGCATTAATTTGAAGCTATCACAAGTAAATTCATTGCTGCTTTTGAAATGGGTTTTCTTGTTTGTCTAATATGAAAACAATACAAAAGTGCATGAAAAACAGTAGATTAAATGATTCTCTTGAGTCATTGTGGTGATCATGTTTAATTACATGATCTCATGTTTAATTACATTTTAAAATAAAACAAGCATACACTTAAACTGATATAGCATGATGGCTGCTCTGGTGCTGCTGTAGACATGCATGTAAAGACTTAAAGAAACACATGGATTACTGACCTGACAGGCCATGATGGCAATCCAAAATAGCCATTATGGTCTCTACTGTAAATTCTTACTTCACGGACACCTGACACAACGGATGTAGACGTGCATGTAAAGACATGCATGTAAAGACGTGCATGTAAAGACTTAAAGAAACACATGGATTACTGACCTGACAGGCCATGATGGCAATCCAAAATAACCATTATGGTCTCTACTGTAAATTCTTACTTCACGGACACCTGACACAACGGATGGCAGCAAGATAGAGGTTTATAATAGAAATGCTGACACAACCTTATCTATAGCTTTGCAAATGGTGCCACTATAATTAATCTTTACAACTTGAGCATCACTAGGTAAGTTGCTAGTTTTTAATCATATTAATCAGATCCTGGATGTTTCAGTTGCCATATATTATCATGCAGTGTGCACTATAAAAATAAGATGATTCCCAGCCACTGAAGATCATAGCTGTTATGAAACACAGAAGTATATCCAAACACTTCTCTGCAAGTGCGAACATACCAAATGAAAACCTCAGTCAGTTATCCTTTTTGTGCTTTGTTTCCCAATACTTGGGCTTGATATAATAGCCACAGAAAGTACTCTGAATATATTACAAAAATGTCACTAGTAGAAAAGCTTCATTAAGATCTGCCCCATATGTTTCAAATTTTCCTATCAGCAGCAAAACAAGTCTACTGTCTTCAGTGATAATGACAGTTAGAAGCCTGCTCTTTCAGAGGGAGGCACTGAGATTATTCTTCATGCACTGCTGTCTTCTTTAAAAGCCGGCTTTTCAGTGCTAGCGAGGAGTGGGTGGCAAAACTCTCACTGCTTTCAGTGGTCTGAGATTTGGAGCCTGGGAATATTTTATGTAAATATTTCTCTTCACATTTTCTCTTCATTTGTCCAACTGATTTACAGTTTTACTTCAGCAAAGAAAGTTTCCTCTCAAAGATACTATATTTGGTGCAAACTGAACAGATATTGCATTGGAGCTGAAACCCTCTATTTTTACTGAGTGGGTATCACTAACTATAATGAAATTAATCTATTAATAAAGCTTGGCTGCTCGCTATTACCCTGAATTTGCAAACCCTTGCATGCTGCATGGCAGCTTACATGTACCATGTGATATATTCCCACACTGTCAATGCCTACTCTTTTACGGTACCAGTTTTATAACATTTTCTGTAGCAATTCCTCTAAGATGGGTGGCACAGGTATGTTGCCCATGTGTCACGAGAAGTCCCATAAGGAAAGAGCATGCCTGTAATTATGTGTGGTGGAACAGAGAATGCTATGGACATTTCTGAAAACTGTAAGAGCTGTAGCAATGCACAGGAGTTGCCATAGTGTTATTCTGACCCCTGAAGGATGAAAACAGAGTTAACTTCATATCCTTTTTTTTTTCCAATTTACTCAGTATACTCTATGAATGTCAAACTCTATACTGCATTAGGAGGATTTATTAGTGCTTGCCCAGACTTATCCTCCAGAAATATGAAAATAGTCATGAACTAATGGTGAATCAACTTCAAAACACTGATGTTTTAGGGGAAGCAGAGGTAAAAATGATTTTTCAGGCTTGTTCCATGGTAAAAATACTGTGAGTTTGATAGTTCATTAAATCTAGTAGGTATGTGAAGATCACATTTATCAAGAGATGTAAAACCCACTGTGCCCTAACCTCTTCTTAACTGAAAAGCATTTTAGTGAATTTTTTCTGGAAGAAATTCAGAGTGAAGTGAGGAAGGACATAGGCCAGTGATGATACGATCACTCATTTCACCTGACTTAAGATTTCATCAGGCTTATATTTTTTCAGAAAATGCATCTGTTAGAGGCCTCAGCAGTGCCCTTACAAGCTTAACTGTATTCCAGAAGTACTCACCCCCCGCCTCCCGAACAGACAGGAATAGGGATTTATGATTCTAAAATGCCTATTAAGATAAAGTATATCTTGATACTACTATCTTTGTGGATAATCTGGTGAAAAGTCCATCCAAGTTAAATCGCTGTGAATCCTGTCACACCTTTGCTCTTCCTCTGCTCATTTCTAAGATGCTTGAAACGTGTTAATGGACCACCTTTTAGGTTCCCCATAAAGTAACAGGTGGATTAGGCTGTTAGAGCTGACGATACTTTTTTCTAAAATCAGTCATGCTGTACTGTAAAATACTAAAGTACCATCCTGCTAAAGCTGTGACGCAGTCACTGCACACACCGAGAGACAACCCTACCTGTGTTAAATATCCTCGGGGTGAAGCAGCACCAGCTCTGCCTTAACACTAGAAGAGGGGTCAGCAGAACACCACGTTTGGAGGCAGGCGACAGCGAGGAGGGGAGGAGGATCGATTTTAATTTTGGGTTTGTTCCTCCTCCGCTCAGCTGTTGCCATGCACTGAAGCCCCAGGTTGCCGAGTGACCTTGTCAAGGAGCCCGCAGCCGGACCTGCTGAATGGTACCATTGTGCAGACTCCTCGCAGGGGCTGCTTCGCTGGAGCCCTCTCCGCGGGTGTGGCAGCCTCATCCTGCCTGGGCATGCTGTCCCGGGGAAACTCCGCCAGGAGCACGCTGAGGCAGAAAAAGGCTTCCTGCGAGAGGCAAGACCCTTGTCAGGAGCAGAGCAAGGATGTCTCTTCTTCTGCCCAAGTCTCCATCCCCCGCTGCCAGCAGCACTACAAAGTTAACCCAAGTGATCAATACGCTATATAAGCATATTATTCCACTATCGGAGACTAATGCCACTGATGTAATCAAGTTACATAATCGCCGTCTTTGCACAAATACATCCATCTTCCTACAGATAGATCTGCATATCTTCTTCCATCCATTATGCATGAACCCAGCAGCAGTACATAAGGGTATGTATTTTCGCACACACTACAGAACTTTAGTGTTGGAGTGTGGTGCACTGCACAACATCATCACAATTGATTGCCTCAACCTTTCCCCATTCTCTCTATCAGAACTGATCGTGCAGAGAAAGATTACCAGTGCATTGCTTGGATCCCTTTAAATCTTTAGAAGCTTCCCTTGCTCGCTTCTGTTCTTAAGAAGACAATCTTTTCTCTCCTTTTTCTCCCTGTCTCGCTTCACAAAACTAGCAGGAACTAATTCACACACAGTCCCTCAGCCAGATGCATGTATGTATGAAATACCAAAGATAGCATCTCTGTTTGAAAATCTTCAACTCCCATACACGTGGTATGAGGTTTCAGTAGGTAAGTTGTTGGGGGGGGGGGGGAATATAAAAGCAGCTGGATGAGATATTTTCAGGCTAGTGGCATTAACGAGATTTCTCTACTATCAAGATTTTTCCTTACCGTCCCTCAGTTCATAACTGCCTTGCAGGATTTACAGGCACAGTTGTAACCCGAATTACCAGTGGCATTTAACACCCTCAGCACCAGAGCTCTGTACCACGATCAATAAGGATCGCCACCTTAAAGTTTGACAACTTGAAAAGCAGGATTTCTCTCCCTCCATTGCAGCTATGAAATGCAGCAGAATGCTGCACAGAGCTGGAAACACTTGTTTTAACCAGCGGATGGTATCCGATCATCATATTAGATTCCATCACGGAGAGCTTCTTCACTATCACCTTTTCAGTCAAAAATAACACAACCTAGGCAAAAGAAAAAAAAAAGGGGGGGGGGGGGGGGAATACAATACTCCTTCCCAAATCAAGAAGGTGCAAGAACAAGAGAGGGAGGGGGATATTTTTATCTCAAAAATCACTCACCAGAAGACCTACTGCAGTTATTCCACTCAACTGCCAATACCGGCTGGAGCCCTTCGTATCAGGATAATGCAGCAATCCCGAAAGTACCCATCATTTCAATCCCACACCACCAAGTTTAGCAATGCCAGGCTTTTTCTTGGATAAAATGACCTTACCCTCAGGAGTCTCCCGCAATATCCCTCCTGTGCGATCAGTCAGCAAGGCGAGTGCCGGTCACCACACTGCGTACTCGGCCGGAGAAGCCCCGTGTTTACTCCTGGGGCTGAGTTGGCCGCTAGTGCCGCGGCGCCCATCCATCCACCGCTGCCAGCCCCGCCGCGGGCGCAGGTAATTCCATACAGACTTCGGCGGCGCCCCCCCGCCCCCCCCCCCCGAGTCGCCCCTTCCTTCCTAGTTCAGAAAGTGCCCGCGGCGCCGGCGGGAGGTACCATCCAGGTGTGGCGGAGGGGGGGGTGTGTTGGAGGGGGCGGCCTGCTTGGAAGCCCCCGCGCCGCCCGCGGGCACCTCCGCACCCTGCTCCCCGCCGCCGCCGCCGAGGGCCGGATCCGGGTTCTGCCACGCACGAGTATCCAGTGAGCAGCAGTCCGGCGGGGTTCACTGGTGCTGGGCGGCTATGGGGAAAGCGCTGCGGATGGGAAGAAGGGGGCGGCGAGGCGGGGGGAGGTTGCTTGCCGGGTCCTAGCACCCGCACCGCCGTGCCAAGGAAAAAAAAAAAAAGGAAGAGGGGGTGGTGGGGGGAAAATATCTCCAAAGGGAAAAGAAAGAGGAAAAAAATCGGTTGTCCGCTTGCCCCGAACGATACTAATCCCCGGTGAGAATGACAAGTGATCAGCAAAGAAGAGGAGGTCTTGACTGATAACCACAATCCACCCAAAATATCCTAAGGAGCAGAGGCAGAGCGGGAGGGAGAGAAGCAGAGGAACTGCAGCGTACGCACGGCTCTCCTGCTTCCACGAGCCGCGCTCGATCGGCGGAGCGCGTCCTCCGCCGGGCCGCCCGCCGGCGGCAGCTGCTGGTACCGCCACCCGATGGACGCCGCCGGGTTGCGCGCCCGCACCGCACCGCCAGCGCCCGCCGATGAGGAGGAGGCGGAGAAGGGTGGGTGTTTGGGAGAGGGAGGGAGGGAGGGAGCTAGGAGGGAAGGACCCTTCGAAGAGATCCTGGAGAAACTCCCCGGTACGGGGCCTCCTTCCCGCGCGCCGCCCGCCTGTCCGCGCCGCCTCGGTTCGCCGCGCTGGGGCCGCGCCCGCCCGGGGCAGGGGCTGTAGCTAAGGCAGAGGCAGGGGCCGGGGAGGGAGCGGGAGGCTGAACGCCCGGTGCGCAACATGCGCGGGGGTCAGCCTGTTTCTCATTCCCGAATGGGGTTTAATTTATTTATGTCCGTCCGCCCCCCCCCCCCCCCCCGTTCCCCTCCGGTTTCCGAAGAGAAGTGTTGCTTTAGGAGAGATGATACATTATCTATTCTTGGATTTTTATAAGGCAAACTGTGGGCCTCGCTGTTGCCATGGGATCTTCTTTGTGCGAACTCTCTGAACTGTGTGGGAACAGTTTTATTTCCTTCCCTTCAGATTTTTTTTCCCCCTCTTCTCCTCAGTAGCTCTTCTGAAGATATGTAGCCAAATGTAACTGCATTATTGCCAATTAACAGCAGCTGCAAGGTGCATCTAATTAAGAATGTTAATTACTTCATGAAATAAATAGTAATTTGCAGATGTTTATAATACTAAACAAATGTTCCATAAAACCTAACTCTAAAATTCTGACACTCCCCGCAATAAATTTGATCACATGCCTGCACAAAGGTGCAGGTGGAGTAGACATCCCCTCTTCTATAGAACTAGCCCTGCATTCACGCACTTTGGGAATATATACATGGAGTTGGCTGTCCTCAGGTAGACAGTTGTGTCAAGAGGCATTCCCTACTCTTACAACCTATTGCATGGGGTGGGAGGGTGGAGGAGAAGGAAGTGTCTGAGCATTGTGAAGTAACATATACAGTTGTGTATCTGTTTATGTCTGTGTAAATGGTACTCCCCAAAACAGGGACAAAGAGACTAGGCAACATTCCATTACCAATAAATCCATCCTGGCTTCCTTGCAGGGTTGTAGAGAAGAATCCGAACTGCTACAGTTGTTAAACCCCCAACATCTTACAAGAGAAGACAAGAGAGGAAAGAAAAGCAGCACGTGGGAAAGTGTGATTTTATTATGGAACATGATAAAGGATTATCGATAGATAACGTGCCGTGCAGAGTCAGTGGGTTGCAGGAGAGGTGGGAGCTGTTGCAGAATTTGTGGAGCTTGCTCACACACCACACCACCTCTCCTTATGATAAAAAGAATGCCATTCTTCATGCTGGATAAAAGAGTAGAATAAACCAGAAATGAATGCAGTAACTAGTAATCAAAATTAAATTTTAAAACACAGAAATTAATGTGACTGGTTAAGCCAGGCATTCAGATACTACTATGATGAGTGATCCATATGAGAGGGTAGCTAAAAGACATATGAAAAACTTTCTGGGATTCTCTTTGTGGATCAGTACAGGGCATTTTAAGTTAGCAAAATGACTCATCCTATCTACTTCAGAGAGCTGGTTTGGGTGCTTGATTTAGAAGCCCAGGCATCCTAGCTGGTTGGGAGAGAGGGAAAGCGAGAGAGGCTTCTAACTTTGATTCTCTCTGTTATCCTTTGAGAGAGCTGCTCTCTTACCACTGAGAAGCAGTATCAGACTCCCGTCACAGGCACTTCCATTACATGATATCAAGAGTCTTTGCTCCTGGACAGAATGATGAGTGCTTGAGGCTGTTCATGCTCTGCAGTAGTCAGAGTAGGAAGGTGGTGCTTGGGGTTAACATGTCAGCCAGACACTCGGTGCACTTGCCTTCAGTTCCTGGTGTTTTACAGGTTTCTCTTCCACTGATATGCAAGTCATGTAATCTCTCCATCCTTTTGTTTCTTTTCTCTATAATGTGAATTAACACTGTGCTTATTCACAAGGGTGCAGTGAAGATAAAAAGTTAATGTTTGTGAGATGTTTGTATATAGCGGTCATGGGGCTATGTTGCTTCCCAGAGAGGCTGCTTAAGGGTCTGGCAGAAGAAAGGGAAAATGAAAAATGGTGGAAGACAAAAGATGTGAACAAAATACAATGTAATTGCTAAAATAGCTGAAACCAGACTAATAACACAGTAAGGATGTAGACCATTCACATGTGCAGAATACAAACCGCCTGTGTTCTTGGTTAAATTCACCCCTGGGTTGAGGAAACTGGTTTGGGTTCATTTCTCAATCATGGAATTGCTGTGAGTAGCAATGCAGTTGTACAGACACAGGTAAAGAGATTTTAGATCTCTTTTTTCCTCAGCCATATACTGAATCTCTGTTTGGCTTTGTCCTCCCATCAATAAGTATGGCATGTATAATATAGAAGAGGGTCTCCTTTCTCCTGATCATGACTTGAGTGTTTTCAAGATATTTTATCAAAGAGAGAAGCATAATCTTATTTTTTCTAAACATTGTTTTAATTCTGTGGCATTCAATGCATGGGGTAATGTCAATGAGTGTTGTGCTTGTACTTGCACCAATCCTAACCATTCCCTCATTCTATTATTCTGTGTGTATAATCTTGAGGCATCGTGTCTCTTGAAGTAAGGAAAAGGCACAAACCACATTCTCATCTATGTTTCATTAAGTGACTTTAAAAGGATTATCCCATTTAATGTGTCTTAAGGAGAGGAAAACAATGTAGTCGAAGTAAACTCCCTTTTCTAAAAGTAATACATATTTAAAATGAAAGAGCTGACAGCGTATATGGCTCTGAAGAGTGTTAACATCATGCAGAATGCTTTTGGTTAGTAAGTTCAATTTGCTCAGATGGGTAGCATCCAAGATCTAATACTATGCCTTAGCTGCATGGTGCCCTTAAAACTTCCTGGCCTTGTGTTTACCTTGCTGGCAAGTCTGTCCAGAGGTTCTTGATTTCTCACTACCTACCTGTGGACTTCAGATATTGAACAGCGTTTCCATTTGTATATTTGTTCCCAATTTTTAAGAAATGTAATGAGAGAAAAAGGCTAAGCAATACAAAACACCAGCACTTACACATTCTCTTGTTTAGTATGCACGTGTAATAGAACTACAACATGATACAGATCTAACAGGATGGTAAGCAAGCATAGTTTTTTTTATATGAGGAAAGAAACCCCAAATTTCCAAAATACACCTTCATTCCCCCACTGAAAACACCAGACCGAAGCCCTGCTCGTGTAAAAATCTACATCTGAATTCTGTAAACGGCAGTATCAATCTAATTGCTGAACAGTTTCAGTAAAGCAAAATGGTCAGCATTTTATCTTTTTTTTTTTTTTCTTTTCCCTTTTCCAAGCACAATTGCATTTATCTGATTAAAAAACAGCTTTGCTTGTCATGACTAAGTAGTCTGGACTACTTCAAAGAGAACAAGGTAAAACCTGCAAACTGCTATATGGTTAACTTCTCTGATTCTCCTTGAGTCTTGTGTATTTTTTTTATATTCTTAATTTATATAAAATTACATTTTATTTATGTTATGTGCTTTATATATTGTAGATTACATATTCCAGATTTCTAATAAATCCAGGCAAAAGTGTTCAAGAGAGCAAATACTTCAAAAAGAATAATCCATAATTCCATATTTTATGAAAATTTCAAAAGCAATTTCCTTTGCAGAGGAGCCTGACTCTGAGGAGTAATATCTAGTCAGGGAATAATACTCATCTCATAATGAAGAGATTTAATCACAACAATTCTTGTTTATAGTCTTAAATGCAATTATATTTCTCTCTTCCTGAGCTACATACACATTTCCGTAAGTATAAGGGTGCTGTACTCACTGCTGAGCTATGTTGTCCCAAATGCTACAGTTTTACTATGCTTTTCTTGTTGGTACTACTTTTGTGTGACTAATCCAGCAGCTTTGTGCCGAGCATGCCAGACAGCTCAGGCTATTTGATACACAGTTCTCCAGGGCTTTGCTTTCTATGCAGTTGAGAGAAGCCTTCCTGTGTCGGGAAGGCATCAGTTGTAGGTGGCCTGAACAAAGCACTACGACACCTATAGATGAAAAGTGACATTACATAAAAGCTAAATATCTTGTTACTACTTGAGTGGGAGGATTCGTTCATTCAGAAAGCCATTCCTCCAAAACATGCATTTCATTGATTCTTAATGTTTAAAGAAGATGGAATTAGACACATATTAAAAAATAAAAAATAGCTCGGTTGTCCTGCAACTCACTGCTTTAACCTCATTTAGCAAAGAATAATGTCAAGGTAGTTAGATGCACATCTCTTGCACATTTTTAATTTTGTAGAAAAATGGTTACTTGCTGTTCCTCTAGTCTCTCATTAGGGTATATCAAAAGAAGGTAATATCCATCCATAAGCTACTTAGACCGTATACCTCATCTATTTAGTTAAACAGTACTCTATCACAAAATGGGAAAACAAAAAAGACGGGGTGCAGTCATGCATTAAAAAAGATTCATGTTTTGTTTCAGAGTTACTGCTCTTTTTTTTTTCCAAAGATCTAATGGTAGGCAGTAATAAGGGATTATTTTCCTTTGAGGATCTGTTTACTTTCAAAATAAAGTCAATAGAAAGGCTCCTACTACTTCAACAGCCATTATAGCAGGTCTTGCACTACCGTTATCCAATCAAATATCATAAATTAGAGATTTTAAATATAAGCATTATTTAGACAAAAATTCCATAAGAACAATTGACCCAAGTTAGGAGTAATACACATTGGCCAGCAGCGTATGCCCAGCAGCGACAAGAACTGAACAACAGGGGGTTAGAAAAGCAGTGCTGATGAAATGCAAAAGCAATACTTGCATAATACACCTCCTGACTTCTGACAACTGTCAGTGCAGGGAATTTCACTTTTTGTCATGAGAAAATGCCAATCACAGATATGAAAATTAAGTGACAAATGTGATCTGAGTTGCAAAAAACCCCAAAAAAATAGTGGAGAGATCAAGAAAGCAAGTAAATCCTTCCTGAGTCATCCAGCTGCTTTGTGAAAAACTGTTTTTCAGTCTTTCTGTTAAGTTTTTCTTTTTTTATTCTAAAAATTGCCAGAAGGTGGAATAGGACAAGGGGTAATGTGTTCAAACTTAAACAGGGGTGATTCAGGTTGGATATAAGAAAGGAATTCTTTAGTGTGCGAGTGGCGAGGCACTGGAACAGGTTGCCTAAGGAAGCTGTGAATGCTTCATCCCTCGCAGTGTTCAAGGCCAGGCTGGATGGGGCTTTGAGCAACCCGGTCTAGTGTGATGTGTCCCTGCTCATGGCAGGGGGGTTGGAACTAGATGATTTTAAGGTACTTTCCAACCCAAACCATTCTGTGATTCTATGTGCCAAGAGAGCAGATCCCATGGGCCACAGCTCCCTTCCCGCTGTACTGTTCCCCAGCCCCACACCTCCTCCACCACCTGCTCCCGCCTACCGAGCCCCTCTGTCAATGAAATATTTTCTTAGGAGGAAGGGGATTTTTTATGTCTCCCTGCCCACATACAGGCAGGCCAAGGTGAGCATCAGTGGGGCAAACCAGGGCAGGCAGTAGCAGGACAGTGTGGCTGGGACCTCCTCCAGCAGCACCATCCCTCCAAGCCTGGACAAGGAAGATGACCGAGATCTACAAGCTGTCTGGCAAACATGAGGCAAAGGCAAGGGCTGGAGTTAGGCCAAGGTGAATCTGGGAGCCATGAGGCTGATCAGGGACAGTCGGGTCCTCATAGATGCCTGGGTGTGCATAGAGGGTATTATAAACAGTTTAATAAATATTTGTTATGCAGTCCTAGACATCTATCAAAACATGCCTGTTGTCACTCTGAGATGTACTATTGGTACTCTTTGCATGAATGAGGTTCAGGTGGTCATCATGTAGCTAATGGGTGCATAGCACAAATTTTCTTCCTTTGACTGCAGGGTCTTCTGTTGAAGCACTCAACCAGTCACTACAGAAATGACTGCTGCAGCTTTGGTGCAAGTAAACCCATCAAAACATGAAGTCGTGTAGGTCAGTGTAACAGTATGGATGCTAGAAGCAGGGTAATAAGGTGTTCACAGCAAATTCCCAAAGAAGTATGGTTACTTCCATCCTGAAGTACATTAAGTACTAAACTTTCATATATCAGTGTGACTGAAAAAATCAAATCCAGAAACTGTCTGTGTAGATGTAAACACTTTGACAAGAACAGACTAAAATTTAACTGGTTTAATATTTCTTCATAAAAATATCCTTTTGGAAAGTCATGAAGCAGAATAAGAGGTTGCTAAAATCAAAGCTGTGTGAACTACCTACCTCACAGAGCTCATGAATCAATTACAATAAAGCTATACCTGTCAAATTTAATTAACCTTAGAAATGTTTATTATTCAGTGTAGCTGATTTTCTGTCTCCTACACATGCACATATGTGTGCATACAGAGGTACTTGACTTCGAGCTTACAAGTGCACCCAATTTAGCAGCTGCAAAGGTTTATCCCAGTTATTAATATAAGATACTAGGATTTATCTGCAGTCAGAATGTTTTGCAGCTTAATTTTCCTATTTGGATGCCAGGGGATATTCAGAATTCTAGATACAGGTATAGCTTGTGCATGTGGAAATAATTTACCTGGGGGCAAGACAAGAACAATGCACACAATGGAAAAAAAAGAGGAGAAAATCAAATCTTCATTAGATGTATGACAGACCTTGATTGAAATATGTGGATGGGAAGAACATACTACAGCTACACTCTGGACCACCTATCTAAGATTGTTACAATGACTGTAAAGGAGATTAGAAAGATTATAGAATCATAGCATCATTTAGGTTGGGAAAGACCTTTAAGATCATCAAATCCAACCAGTAACCTAACACTGCCAACTCCACCACTAAACTGTGTCCCTCAGTGCCAGATCTACACATCTTTTAAATATCTCCAGGCAAGGTGACTTAACCACTTTCTTGGGCAGCCTGTTCCAAAGCTTGACAACCGTTTCAGTAAAGATTTTTTTCCTCATAGCCAATGTAAGCCTCCCTGGCTCAACTTGAGGCCATTTCCTCTTGTCCTATCGCTTGTTACTTGGGAGAAGAGATTAACACCCACCTTGCTACAACCTCCTTTCACGTTTTCCTAGACTTCTTCTAGTCATTTTTAGAGACAAGACAGTGAGCTAGCTGGGTCTTTGTGCTGACTCCGTGGACATGTTTTTTTGCTTTTACATTATATGGACTGTGAAAGTTTGCATTATTGAAAGAGTTAATGCACCTTATGCAGAGTTAATGCAACAAAGAATCTGGAAACAAATGGAAAGGAATGTCACTTTCCTGGGTTTAGTGTACAGGTATTTCAGTTTCCACTGCTGTGTACTTCTATCTAAAAAGGGAGTAAAAACTGCTAACAGGTAAGAATTCTTGCATTGATTAAATTCTCTTTCTTATAGGTGTAAGTAAGCAGATATTATGAATGCAGTAGGAAGAAGGGCAAGAGATCCTGAAAAAGCATTAAGTACAGGCTGAATTTCAGTTCTGTCTGTCAGGCACTGTTAATAAATACTGAGCTGTATTAAGTACACAAGTCAGTTCAAAATGGTGCAGGTTACACTTTCACATGGAGCTTACATGGGGGTTTGGGTTGGGTTTGTTTGTGTTTTTCTTTTGTTTGGTTGTTTGTTTGGGTTCTTTTATTGTTAGTTTATTCCTGCTGTACAAGCTGTAACCTTACTAGCAGAGCTGCTAGTATTTCATGAAGGCTGAAAATGTTGTTCATCGGACAGAAACCTTCCTAACATGCCCTCAGGTTTGGAGTGACTAAAAAAATGCATTTGTGGGTGATGGCAGCATGGCAGGGCCTCTGATGTATCAGCAGTAAAGGGGTTAAAGAAAACTAGTTTTTAACATGCCTGTGGGGTTTCTATCTGAATCTTTCTTCATCTCTATAGAGAAACATGACAGCCTTAGTGGGAGAGTATTGTGCACTACTGAAATGCTATGTGGCTACAGGACAGCTTTACAACATCAACAAATTTGAAGCTTCACACAGCTTTATAAGGGTGCCAGCTTTTCCTGATGTGAATCTATAAATGATTTTGTCAGACTTTTGTTATCTACAGTCTGAAATGCAGATTTCCCACTCTTATGTTAAATATTCTCTTGAAATAAGAAGCAGCATAAAGAAATGCTACAATTTTAGCATGATTGTTACAGGACATCCATGATAGAACAGAAAGCAAGCTGCACGCAGTGAAAAATGGAAGGCCAGCAATTACCAAGATTTACAAGAACACTCCTTTATACCTGTGTTCTGTGGACCTGGAAGAAACATAACTTCCATTTCAATGTGTAGTTTTGACTTGCTTTATCTTAAAAATACTAGTTTGTTTGAAAGGTCAGTGTTCTTTCTTCTTATGAGGGCAACAAGCTACTCCTCATGAGAGCAACAGTGGTGATGCAGCATTTCCTGAAAGAAGAGAGACAAATGTAAATGCAAAGGAGAAAGTTTTGATTTCGGCAGTGGAGATGAATCAGAACAAGAAAAAAATAAAGGCAGAGGAGAGTGGCAGAGTCTGAAATGAAGGCAATGTGATCTGAATATTGATGAAGAGGCATTGACAAGATGAAAGATCTCTCTCTGTTGCTCTCTCACCCTCTTATTTCCAGTGTGTAAAATCTGTCCTGTTGACACACTTTTGCGCTCTTTTTATATTGTAGAACTGGAAAGAGCAGGATTCACAATCAGTGCTGGTGGTTGCGCAGGCCCTGTGACAGATACTTGCTAGGGGAAGGGCTCAACAGCTGCATCCCATTCTCCCCCATTTTCTGAGACCCTTCAGTCCATGGAACTGGACTTTATCAAGGTTTGAGAATTCTTCTCTGAGTAATTCAGGTTGATTACAAGAAAAGGAGGTCTATGAGGTACTGACAATTCATATCCACGCTCCAGGGAAACATACAGTATAGTTAAATACATTAGGTATTTTACCTGTATGTAATTTAAGTGTATTCATAACGTAACATATTTCTCTGATGGATGTCAGTACTTAGAGGAAATCCTGTTTTGAAAACAAACGAAAAAAAAAAAATCCCAACCAGACATGCCATGTTTGAAAATAAAAGGTTACCAAACTTAAAAAAACAGAAACCATAAAATTTATAGCAGGTAGGTCCACCAAGAACTGCTGAAGTTTTGCTTCAACACATGCTACTCCACTGGGAAAAATGTCACCTTCAAGCCATCAAGCCATTGGCTTTGATGGCCGCTGTTTTCAAAGAATCAGGGTCCGCAGATGAGCATGGCTGTTGCTCAGAACAGTGTGTATTCTCCCAGCAAATACTTTTTCACAGTGTAGGTCTAAATATAGTGACATATATCCATATGTGTGTAACATGGACTTAAATGGGTCATTAGATTGTGAAGTATGCAATATACAAGCCACAAAATTTTACAGTGAGATAAAAACATAATCTTCTAAAGTTTATATGCTATCTGAGTTAGTACTGTCTTGATTGTCCTGCTGTATAATGGCTTTTTGCAGTACATCTGAAGCTTTTTTGTTTTTTCTACCTCTGTAGTACAGCTACATGGAAACTGTGACTTCACTGGAACCAATCAAGACAATCAAGAAAACCAAGGTGCTACTTCAAATCCTGACCTGTTCAATGAAAAGCATGTTCACTTTTGTGGCTAATTTGCCTGACCAAGAAGTTAAGAGTAAAAGTTAAATTATACATTTTTTTCCTGGTATATAGAAGTCATGAGTTTTAGTTAGTTAATACCTGTGTAGCTTTTCTTAAAGGTAAAATACATTTGATAACTGTAGCATGTTTAACAGTAAGGACTAGGCAGAACACCTCAGTTAGAATTTTTCAAAGGCACTTATGGTAGGTTTCCCCAAAATTCCGTAGGTCTTGGATGCAGTAAAGTCTAATTTACTGAGATGCTTGAACCAAAGCAGATTTGTTATCTTGATATATATCTCTGTGTGTATACTGTTATTTCAACATTTTAAAATGTTGTTTCAATTTGCCTAAGTGCAGTTGCAAAAAAATAAACATGAATGCAGGGGATGCAAACTTGCTAGAACATCCCCAAAAAAATTGTTGGCTGGTAGACAGTTGTCAGGAGCATCAGACTTATGGATACTGTAAAATGCCTGTAGCCTTGCTTCATCCTTTGCCATGTTAAAGCCTCGGAAAGCCAGGTTTGCTGGATGTGTGGAAATGCTTTGAGTTTGGGCCCCTCATCTTTTGGGGAATAAAGTTCAAAATTAAGAATTCCACTACGCATAGATTTGTTCTGGGAGAAACTATAAGTGCCTAAACTCACCTCTATCTCCTTTCTTGCTTAAGATCAATGTGGTACAGTACAGTACAGTATTAGTGCAGCCTTGTATCCAAGTTGTACCTTAATCTGATCGCACCTGTGTTGAGCAAAAGACATGAATTATAAAAGAAGCTGTTAATTTTAATGCAACCCTAATCTATTAGGATAATTAGGAAAGTCTAATCTTTGTTATTAACTATGTTTCAAAGACAAAGAGAATAGTGGAAAAAAAGCCCCTGACCAAAACAAAACCATAAACCAAACCCAGTTTCTTGGGAATTATTCCTATTCACATTCTCAATTTTGAATGGAGTGCATGCAGGTGGAAGGACAACTTCAGATATTAGTGTTCAAAGGCAAAATTGTCTGCTGTTATGACTCCTACATAAAGTTATAATAAGGATAATTCAAATTCCTACTAGGCTGACTACACTTCATTGCAATATCCCATTCACAAAAAAAAAAAAAAAAAAAAAAAAAAAAAAAAAAACCAACCAAATGAAAAAAAAGAAAACAACGCACCCCAAAAAAAGATAACAATTGCATAAATCACTAATGGGAAAATATACATGTTTTTTATGACCGCACCTAGCTTATACCTAGGTTTGGGAGAAACAGCAGAGCAGCAGTGCATTTTCTCAGGACATGTGGGTTTGGAATTCACGTGTTAATGAACACTTTGTATATTTGCAATACTTTTACTATCTCTGGTCCACACATTCACAGTATGTCACACACATTTTCATATTATGTAGTAGGGATCTCTTCTTGCTGATACACCAAGATACAATAGAGAAGGATTTAGCATTAATGATAAATTGAAGGATTACAGATTGAGAGAGTTTTTTCAGGTCATTTATTTTATTTCTCCTGTTTCCTTTCCCTGCAGTTCTTCACCAAAATCCCACGTCTCTCACATATTTATTTTTTGTGGTTTGACATTACATTGAAAGTAAAACCACTGAAATAAATGACTAAGATGTTACTGCTGGGTTGTTCTTTAATCTATGACTTACATTTGACTGCATCTTTATGAATTTTTAAAACAAGAATACTTACAGTAAAACCACCAAGCAAATTTGGGGGTAAAAAAGGCCCAAAGAAACAAAAAACAAAAACCCCAAACCAAACCCAACTCCTCCACAAATCAAAACCTTGTTTAGTGCTATATCAGTAATGATGGAAATAGCTTCAGGTGTTTCCACAAAGGCTTACAGTGTAGTCCAAATATATATCTATCTATATAAATATATAGATATAAAAGAAATTATAAGGCAGCTTCTTAAGAGAAAATGTGAAACATTTTTAAGCTAGTTTTCTATTTTAAATAGAGGCATGACTATCATTTATAGCCATGAAACTACTAAGTTTCTCTCTCAGAAGATCACAAATTGAATAGTTACTTAAATCGATTTTAAAAGATTTGTCTGAATGAATAGCAAGAAAACTTTGCAATGTATTGTAACAAATTAAAACAATTTTTCTGACACTGCAATTTGTGATGCTAAAAGTCTGGTAATTAGGGCAGAACTAATCTTCTATAACTTCAGGCATTCAGGGTGCTGTCATCTTCATCCTGAGATCATCATCTGGAGACCTTATAGGCACTGGAGAGAAGTAGGACTGTTTTCAAATGATTCAGGTCATTCCAGTGTAGACATCTTAAGTGAATCTCATCTTTAAAGGACCTATTTCACCCTCTCAGCTAGACAGGAAAGTGCATGAAAAGCTTGGAAATACAAGGTACATGACAGATGCCTAAGGCTGTGTGAGGTTATTCCTGATGTTAATATGTGAAGAGGATGTAAAATAGTAAGTAGAGATGAGTGTGTGCATTTAGAGAGAAGGCATTACATATAAATAAAAAAAAAAAAGGTTATTTTCCAATAGTTCCAATAGTGGTGGCAAGAAATACTAGTAAAATTTATGGAGATTAAAAAAGAAAAAAAATTATATATCCTATGTTTGTGCCCTTGCATGCAATACAAGGATTTCAAGGGGTTGCTAAAAAGCTACTCACTTGCCTAGGAACATAGAAAAAGACAACATTTTTTCTGTTTTCTTTTGGTTTTATGGTGCTTTATAATAGCATACCTATATAGGCATTCAACAACTTTTGCAAAATAACAATTCAATACTGATAATCCTGAAATCTCTAAACACCTGAAGAGCAAATGAGGAATTGTGACTAATAGCTGTCAGGTCTAAAAATAAAGCTATATATTTTTTTTAAAACTCACAAATAGATCTCTTGCTATACCTTATGATTACATCTGCCTTGATGGTCAAAGCCTTACAGGAGAAACTGAAGTCACTCTCTTTTCATGAACAAGCTGTTTGATACACTTTCCCTGATTTCTTTTGTTTTAATTATCTATGGCCCGGGAATGTCATTAATTCTGCCCTCAGCTTCTGTACTAAGATTCCGTTAGCAGCTTGTTTACACAGAGCGTGCAAGGAAGTTAAGACAAACCAGCTTAAGACATCTATTTCAAGTTATATTTGTTAAAGCACATTGTATGGATGGTTTGCTTCAGAAAAGCAGGTACTAAATAATACACGGGTTTGTATGGGATTGTTCCTCATTTCCATCAAATTTACAACTTAAATTGCTTTAACTTTTATTGGTTATTCTAAACACTTATCTGAACTATATCAGAGATGATAGAAAATAGACCCAGAAATGGAGAAAGACTTGTGCATCTCTTACTTGTGCATACTTCTCAGGAGGTAGTCAAATAATCAACAGCTATTACTTTTCTTCAGTGTTATGTCACTTTAGCTAGTATGTTTTAATGATTTAAAATCTATTTTAATTTGTTTCTCACTTCTAAGTGACAAGGTGTTGCAGTATTCAATGGCACAAGGGAAAAAAATTGAAAGCTTTGACAATAAGAAATATTTATCAAGTCACATTTTTGTTTCCCTGTTTTCCAGACTGAACTGGCGTTTGCACTCAGAATATTTATCTAGCTTCAGACATGATCACTGCAATATTAGGAGTGTGACAGACTGTAGGAATCTGCACATTAACTAGGTATGATACTGAAGATTATATACTTCTATATGATATAATACTGGCATCTAATGGCATCAATGGCTGTTGTTTCATTGTGAAGAAACTAGCAATCTTCAAAGCTGTTTTATTACTTGGGATTATTAATTTTGACACTTGTCCTGTAATTTTTTTCCTGCAGCCATATTTGCAGATGTTCTCAAAGATAATTACAAAATAAAAGGATCTCACTTTTTACCAGGGATGTCACCTTTGTCCATAAGAGCCAAGTTAAAAATAAAACCAACACCCTAATTAAAAATCTTTCCCTTAATTTCCCTCCTCATCTAAAGGACAATGTGACATGGCATGAACAAATTCTTAACTAAGCTATAGTCTGTCAATAAACTTCCAATTTAACGGATACTGAACAAAAAGACATCAAAGCTAAGGTTGTAACTCGTTTGTTATGTCAAGAAGTCACTGAAAGAGCTTAAAATATCTTTGAATTTTAATCAATGTCCTTTACTTGTTTTCTTGTGGTTACAACTATTTGGTCACTAATTGATTTTTAGATAATTATGATTTGTTTGTAGACATAGCAAGTTTAGCAAGTTTAAACTAAGTTAGAGGCTTTTCTATTAAAAAGAAGAAGGGAAAAAAAGTGTTGTTTTTTTTAAATTTGTGTATGCTTCTCATCAGGAGAAAAGGTCTAAAAATAGAAAAATAAATTAAGGAAATTCCTAGTTCACATTTGAAAATTTTATGCCTTCCTCCTTACTTTTTGAACTCTGAAAGCACGCACACATCTCTCTCCTTATCTTATTAAGCTAGTTTGATTTTTCAGCCAATTAATGGTGAAAAGTAGTGGAAAGAACACAATTAGAAAGACATTCCTCATTTCTTTGTGTGAGAAGCTGATAGAAAATAACAGGTGAAATATGACTATGAGATGCTGTGAGGGTTCAGGTCATCTGCTGGCAATACCTATCAAAGTATTTAAGACTTATTTTGTCATCTGTCCAAAAAAAAAGCTAAATTGGAGACAGAAAATAAGATAAGTGCAAGACATTATTTCAGAATATGGTTCATAAGTTTATGTCCCAAATTATTCAAATCTGAAGTGACATGATAACTGGGACAAAGTGATAATGATTTTGAAGTTTGGTCTTCCCCATTACTTGCATTTAGAGCAGATATATTTGCATCCGTTGCCTTCTCGGGTTGATGAACCTCCCAGTATCTCTGTTATCTAAATTTCCAGCACAATCTGGGAGTCCTGAGAGTGCTGACACTTTCCATTCATACCCTAAGGATACATAGCAATATCGTGCATGTTCTGCCTTAGTATTTTTTTGTAATCACTGTGTGCTACTCAGAAACCCCAAGTACAGGCAGGATGTGTAGCACTCCAATACCACCATGGTGGGTACTGAATCTGGTTCTGACAGAACTGAATCTATTACAAAGTGCTGAACAGGTTTTCAGTTTTTTCTATATTGAAGGAGAATTTAGGACTTCAGTTTTGGAAACAGCACCCTCGACAGGCTCATGAGAATTTACTATGTAGCTTTGGGCTAAATGAGCTCCAGGAAAATGGGAAGCCACACTTAAGCCAATGACAGAGAATAAAGTGTAAAACTGCTTAATCTGTGAGCATGGGATGTCTCAGAAGGTCCTCATCAGGGAGTCCAGCATACAACCTATGGTCATTCATCAGTCGACCTGAGTAGATGAGCAGGAAGCACTTCTCTTAGAAGAGAGGAGAGATGAACAGTGGCTGCTAGCCACTTGGCCCATCCCAAGGCTGAAGAGTGGCTGCTTTTCAATTGATGTTCATGCTGGTGTCCCTGACCATCTCTCTCATCCTGGAGAGAAGAGAGCAGGAGGCACTACAGCAATGCTGCTTCTTCATCCACAATAAGAATTGCAGGCTCTGCCTGGCCGGACTCATAGGGAACCTTGCAGCTTCTTGTCCCTGTTTGTCCTTTTGCAGTTTTGCAAATGACAGTTTGTCACAGAAAGGTGTGCAACAAGTTCTGTGAAGACACTAATGTGCAAAAGCTTTCTATATAGGGAAAGATATGGGACTAGGTAAGGACCCAAAGTGGATTACAGGGTAAGTGCTTGTTGTATTTGCAG